AGGGAACATGAATCAAATATGTACTTTTATTCATTTACAATAAACTCATAAAGTACATCATTCTGATTGAAGCTAAGGGCATACAAAACTGTCTAACACCTTTTTGGGTGCATGACCTTGTAGTTGGGCTTAACAAAAGGTGCCGATAAGACTTTGATGGTGTTTAAAAGCTTTGAACACCTACCTACTTATAGATATTTCTTTTATAGTATAATAACAAGTTTACAACAAGAGAGATCTTTAAGTAGGCAAATGTAACAATTACAAGTATAAACTAACTCAATTGCAAGAGTTTCTGTATAGGTGCTTAGTTCACAGAAGGGATTTACAATAGATGGGTGAGATTGTACAGGTCCAAAGGATTCTTAGTTTTACTCACCTCTCAAACTATTGAAGTCCAAAGATCTCTTCAAAAACAACTCTTAATAAATTGCTCTCTTTGAAAAACAGCTATACAAAGCCAATTGTGTTTTTTTGGGTAGTCAACTAGTCTTTTTAGACATGGCATTTTCATGCCTTGACTACAATTAATAGATTATGCCTTTTTGTTTTAGTTGATTACATATCGTAGTCTTAGAATTTTATGCCTCAATTGTTACAATTAAGCGACTATATATTTTGGGGTAGTCGACAATGTCTCATAGTTGCGATAAACTTGCCTCAACTGTCATAGTTAATCGACTATACATTTCTAAGTAGTCAAATACTCTATGAAGCTCGGTAATCTTGCCTAACAGACAACCCAACACTTAGAAACCTAAAAAATTCTTATTCTAAATATTTGGGATCTCTTCCATTAGTTTTCAAAAAAATATATATATATATATTTATTTTTTTTTCCGATTACAATCACTTGTTTAAGTTTAGAAAAAGCTTAGAAACCAAACCTTTGCTAACCACTGGTCTCTAAATTTGCCTATAATGAGTTTAATCTTGTTGACAATCAAAAAAGTGCATCATATACAATAGATTACATCAAGATCCTAAAAGATAAACACAATTTAAACACAACTTGATGTAGTTTTTTTTTCTTAATGAGTTGTTTTAGCAGATGACCTTTGAGCAACTCCAAAATCATTTAAGTTCCTAAATAGCCTTAATATGCTTGAATTACTTAGAGCTTCCTCAATTGGAGAGATGTGGTAATGGTGTAGAGATCATGAAGCTCGGGTAGTTAGCAAAGATTTCATTTTATCATCTTTAGTAGCATATATTTTTAGCACAAAGAAGTTTAATAAAGCTTATTGCACACTTAATCATGCCATTAGTATTCTCAATGAATTTGCTATCATCAAAACATGGGGTCAACAAGCATAAGGTAAAGTTGGTATTTTAAATTATATATGATAATGCCTTAATGGTAATATGGGTTCTTGGACTCTACAACATGAACACTCTTTTTTAATTGCCAAATCAACGAAAAAAGTTCTTGGACTCTGATTTTGAAAGGCCAAAACAAGTTGGTTTTGTTTTAAAAAACAATATATGTTTTTGGAACCATTTAAATAATGGTTTTGAAAACAAAGACAAATTTTGAAGTATAGGAATTATATGATTTATGGAACATGATATTAGATATCTTCGTGAAAACATGGTTTTGAAACAAAAAATTCAAGAACATGCTTTTGCCTTTGTGGCTCCAATTTGAAAACCAAAATAAAAAGAAAAAAAAAAACACATACACAACCAAGCAAATGTTTTTAATTGTTTTTTTGTCATGAGAAACAATTAATTTCATTTCATGTTGCATAATGTTCCTACTTAGAGGTGTAAATCGGGCTGTGCCGCTCGCGGCCTAGCATGAATTTGGACTGGCTCGGCATGACCATGTGGGCCGTGCTAGGCCTGGGGTTTTAGGTCCATGGCCCGACATGACCAAGCGGGCCGTGCTGCTCGTAGACCACAGGCCGGCACGACCTAGCTTGCAGCTCGGCCCATCACGGCCCGACACTACCCATATATATATATATTTTATATGTATTTATATATTTTTATATATAATTATATAATATTATATAAATTATAATTATATAATAATATATAGTATACAATATATTAATAAAATAAATAAATAAATATATATATATATATTTTAAATTTATTATACTAATTTATTTAATTATTGCATATATAAGCAATTTTATGCACAAAATTCATATAAAATTAAAATTTTGTTTTTTTATCAACTTTTTTAAATAAATAGATTTGGCCCGATGCACGGCTTGACCTGGCCCAAGGCTCGGCCCATGGGTTAGCCTGGCCCGAGGCACAACACGGCACGACACGGGCCTGGGTCGTGGGCCGCGCTGGGCCAACCCCCAAAATTTTTACCAGAGAGGGTGGCATGTTCCACACTTTGCGTGGGCCACCCACGGGCTATGGCATGCCGGCCTGGCATGGCCCACTTTACACCTCTATTCCTAATGTACATGTTACTCATAAGTGTGAGGTGTTTCCCCAAAAAGAAAGGGTAAATTAAAAATTACCACCTTCTACTTTGGGGGTAGTGGCACTTTAGCCTCTAGAACTTCTATTTGCCACAAAAATTAATCCAGATGAAAAGAAAACAAGGGTGATAATTTGTAATTTACCTAAAAGCAAAAGAAAACAAGGAAAATGTTGGAGAATTGGGCTCACCTTTTTCACCAACTAATTGTGGCTTAATTGGTTGACTCTTTGACTTCTTGTAGTAGAGATTTGAGATTAAATCCCCCTGCCGTGTCAGGGTTGGGTTGGAGGGGGGAAGGGGTTAAGAGGATGAGGGATGAGGGATGAGCTACCTCCGTTGTGCAGCACCTTATTCAAAGTGGTAGTAGCTACATATTAGTGATAGGGGTAAAACGTTTATGACAATCATAATGACCTCTCTTAAAGGTTTTTTTTTTTTAACAAAAACCTCTCATGTAATATAAAAAAAAAACTACAAAAATCTCTCATGTAATATAAAAAAAAATTACAAAAATCTCTCATGTAATAGGGGTAAAAGTAAATGTCCATCATAAGGACTTCAATGCATCAGGCCAACATTGTACATTGTCTGTATAATAGAAGGGAGGTAACTAAAGTTTTTTCAAACTTATAAGGAGATTTTTATGAAAAAGAAACGTCAGAGGAGCTTTTTATGATTGTCAAAAATCTCAACGGAACCATCAAAATAATAATGGCCAACGTTACAAAAACTCGCGTGCGACAGTAAAATCGCGTAAGCCGTCCTCTGGAGACAAAAGGTTCGAGCTCGTGAGACGGGCGGATACGACTAGGAGGCCCACCATAAGCCCATAAGCTAAGAAGGTCACCCTTTTCGCCTCTTCTCTCCCCTTCTCTCTTCTTACTTAACAGAGTTTAGTGCCATTTGACGCATCGACTGTGATAGCTTTCTCTGCCTGTAATTTTCTCAAACATCGTATGCCCATTAAGTTGCTGCGTTTTGAAACAGACAGAAATTGATAAAGGAATTTGTACAGATTTTTCCCAAGGAAGCGTTAAGAGATCTGATGGGTCGACCTCCACAGAGCGGAGCCCCGGCTTTTCGTTTTACACCGAAGGAAGTAAGGATTTCTTATGCTTGTTTTCTTCCTCTTTTGTGGGGCTTGGTTCTTATCGTAACATCGAAAATCCCAGATGGGTTGCTGTGTTTTCAGATTAAAATTTTGGTACTTTTAGTAATAACTGTTTATTTTGATCATCCGGCTGCTTTGTTGTACTTTGGGCTTGAGGTTATTTAGGTCTATGTTTGAAGGTTGTATGCGCTGCCTCTACTCACCTTCCCCATTTAATTTCTCTCTCTCCCCCTAAAACTAATTTTAATAGAACAAAGGAGTCTTACAGAGAGAACAAGAGAGGTAATAGCCTGGTGGATTCATATTGCCAGCATCACGCCAACTAAACTAAAAAGCGGAGAAGGAAAATGAAGGAAAGAAGAAAATGAAAATGAAGGAGAGTTAACCGTTATACTGATTCATGTTTTCGTTATTAGAGTTGGGTGAAGTTTGAAAAATTTAAGTGGGCGCCTTTACTGGAGCTATGGTTATGCCATTTTGTAGGACTAAGTCATTGTGGACTCATTGTCATCTGATGACTTTCTTCTTTTTTGTCCTCATTTCTGTTTTTTTTTTTTTTCCTGGATTTGCTGGTTTTGAGTTGCTCTTTTCTGAGGTTTTGGTATTTTTGATATGACCATAGTGGTTAAAATCTTTGGATCTATGATAACATTCATGATTCAATCATTCAAATCACATATTCCAAGGTTTTTTGATTGAAATCATATAACTGAATCCTTTTCTGAAAAGTATCAATTGATAATTTGTTGAATATATGGTCGAATTCATGAATCTTATGGTTTATCCCCATAACTACCGGTTTTCTTTTAATTTTCTCAAGGGACTTTTCTCCTAAATCATTGCTAGACAAAAATACTTAAGCAAGGGGTGGGGTCACGGGAGAGTAAATATTTTGGGCACATTTGTAAGGAAAAGAAAAAGAAAACTAAAGGGTAAAGAAAAAGAAATCTTGGGCACATCATCATCCATGCCTTATCCCAACTATATGGGGTTGGCTACATGAATCCTGTTTTGCTAATCCGTTCTATTTAAAATTATAACTGTTACATATTAGTGCTTAAATCTTTTCTTACTACTTCTACCCATATACCTTTTGGTCTAGCCCGAGCTCTTCTGTCCCTTTCAATGTGTAACGAATCACTTCTTTTAGCTGGCGTAGTTGGTGGTCTTCTATGCATGTCTCCGTCTCCAAAGTCCAAACCATCTTAGTCTACTCTCTCTTATTTTATCACCTATTGGATTTGGAGCTACTCCTAGGTTCCTACTGATAACTTCATTCCTAATCCTATCCTTTCTTGTTTTTCCACTCATCCATCTTAGCATTCACATTTTTGCCACATTCATTTTCTAGACATGTTATTTCTTGGCTTCCCAACGTCTGCTCCATACAACATAGCTGGCCTCACAACTGTTTTATAGAAATTTCTTTTTAATCTATTTAAAGATATAACTATTAAATATTAGTGCTTAAATCTTTTTTTACTACTTTTACCCATATACCTTTTGGTCTACCCCGAGCTCTTCTATCCCTTTAAATAGATTAAGAGAGTTTCTGAGGCGTACACTTCAGGTGCAAGAGGTGTATGCCTCATATGCTTTTTTCATGAGGTGTGCTAGAGGTGTATGCCTCATGCACCTCATGAACACCTCACATAAAAAGACAAAAAAAGGAAAAGAAAGAAAAAAAGAAAAAAAAAGGAAAGGAAAGAGAAGGGAAAGAAAAAGAAGAAAACCATGGGAATGCCTCTTACGTTTTGAACTATGCCTCACGCCTCTAGGTAGTGGAATGCCTCACGTCATGTCTCCGTGTTTTAAAACATTCCTCTAGGCATTCTACTACCTAGAGGAATGTTTGAAGTGCCTTAACTCATTCCTTAACTGCCAAATTATTCCCTCCCCTTTCTTTAGCCAGTTTACCATAGTTTTTTTAGCCCCCTTCAACAACCAACCTATCAATCCCCATTTCTTTGGATTTTTCAACACCAAACACTGCTGCCTTCATTCTTGAGCTCATTACATCATCACCTTGCTGAATAGGACCCGAGAACATGGCTAGCATATTTCCATCCTCAACCCTTATTACCCCACCAATGCCGATGGCCCTGGATTTCCAAAACATTTCCCATCAAAATTTAGTTTCTTCCACCTAACATCCAGAGGGGACCATGATGCAATCACAATAGTTTTCCTAGTTGCAATGTTTGCAATTGTTCCCCAAGACCTGAAAAAGTCTTTTGTCTTAAAATCAACAAATAAATTTAGTGTTTTCATCCAATGCGCCACCCTTCGAGTTATCACTTCAATTACAACTTCTTTGCTTCTTTCTTTGTCATCAAAGATCCTCAAATTTATTTCTTCCCAAATTGTCCAAACAACTGTTGCTCTAGTGCATCTTCCCATGATTCTGCCTCTCCTTTTAGAACACCTGAAGGAGTGAGACCTAAACAGGCTTTCCAAATTAGCAGGAGGAATCCATCTACAACCAAACACAGACGAAAACCATTCCCAAATGAAGTTAGCAAAGGGACAGGAAATTAAACGATTAAAAGCAATCCCACCATCTAGATTACATAAGGAGCACCAATTTGGGGACAAGCACCAATTTGGCCTTTTTCTTTGAAGCAAATCACAGGTATTGACAGAGCCATGGAACACTTCCCAACAGAAAACACCGACTTTAGGAGGAAAAAGGCGAAGCCAAATCTCCTTGACAGGGAAAGAATGAGAGGAGGATGTGGCAACAAGAGAGTTCAAGAAGGATTTTCAAGAGAAGGACCCAGATTGATTAAGTGCCCAAACTCTAGAGTCTGAGCCACTGTCCCCCAACACCACTGCATTCAACAAGTTAATCAAAGTGGAGACGAGACACTAGACAGTACAGATTCTCTCAGATTTCCAACAAAACCTAGATTCCAATTCAAGTTTGTAGGTGAAGAGGAAGAGCTAATAAAATCGCTAATGGGTTTTCCTTTAAGACTGGAAAGAGCAAAAAGGGAAGGGAACACTTCGGACAGGGGGAACCGGGAATCCCCAATCCAAATGTCCTCCCAAAATCTGATTTTTTGACCCAAAACCAATCATACCTGATGTGAGGAAGGAACAAAGGAAGAATGCCATGGATGGCCTTCCAGGGAGCAGCCAAAGTAGCTCTGTGCAAACAGCCTGCATCCCAACCATTGCTTGACAGCATTCCATATTGGCATTTTGTCGAATACCATTACCTCCATCCTCTTGTTCCATTGCATAGGGACTTGCAAAGATAAATCCTGATGTTTACATCCCTAATTGGTTGATCAGTTGCTGAAGGGGTAACTTCTTCAACTATTTGGCAATCCCCGTTTGTTGTATTTGTTGCCGCTTCAGACTTGTTCTCGATAACCTTCTTGACAATCTTCTTTGCTGAATCAATGGTAACTCCAATGAGGGATTCCCTCCCTATTTCATGAACGCCTATTTCATCTTTAGCAGATTCCCTTTGCTCTACTTTGAGGCCTCTTTCACTTCATTCCTTTTTTCCTTTATTTCGTCCTCTACAACCTTTAATTTCTCCTTTGGATCTTTCTGATCCTTTGAATCCTTTTTCTTCAATTCAGCCTGCAATCTGCCTTTTCATGTCCATGCTTATAGCAATAGCAAGGTCCAAAGTATCGATACACCCTAATATGATGCAAGAGGTGTACCAGTACTTTGAACCTTGCACTACCTTTTTTTTGTTTTTTGTTTTTTTTTGAAAACCATGACAGGAGATAGGTCTTAGGCCGATTTACCCTTGAAAAAGGACAAAACCCCAAAACAACCCTGTTTTATGTATCTATGGCCCACTGGTACGATATGTATCGGCTGATACAGGCTGAAAAGTGACATAATTTTTATTGATAAAAAAAGCATGACGAAAATTTGAACCTTGAGCAATAGGTGCTGTAGAGAGGCAGGTTCTCTTATTTGATCTTTTCCCAAAAATCCTCTTTATCTCTTTTACCATCCCAATCCAAACACGTGAAGAGAATTCCTTTAACAAATCCTGCTCTATGCAAACCTTGGCATTATCTAGCTTCAGCACTTGTCCTACAACCTGTGCAGTGGATTTTAAAAGCATTTTGTTGTATAGATTAATAGAAAGCATAGGAAAGTTGATCCAAACAGGCACAACAATAGACTCGCAGCCGAGCTCTAATCCTGGAATCTATTTCAGAACATGAAACAAGAAAGGGGACCAGGAAGTGTTTGGGATGAGAACAAGAGGTCAGAAGGCTGACAATGGCTTCTTAAGTACTAAAGGAAGTCCAGTGGCTTGAGTGATTGGTGGATGGTGGTGAGGGAGGAAAGGTGAAGCTGTATCGATGGAGGCGAATACCCAGGGAACAGTGGTATATGGAGAACTAAAGAAGGTTGGCTCCAGTCAAGCGATTCAAGCCCAAGAAACTTTAAGTGGAGGGAATGACTACGAAAGGGTGAAGCAGGTCAATTTTTCTTAGTTTGGAAAATTCTGGAGAGTTTGGGGGAGAGGGGGACGTTGAGGAAGGGCAGGAGGGGGGGAGGTGAGGGGCCTAGTGACTTAATCGGGTGAGAGGGATGAAGGTGTAAGAGTGGAAGAAGAGAGGAAAGAATTCTTCTACTAGAAAAGATACAACAAATAGAGGTTTCAGCTTCTTCAAGGGATGGTCTATGGTGGAAAGAGTGTAGGGATGGAAAGTTTATAGTGAAGTCTTTCTATCTGGATTTAGTCAAAGATCAGCTGGATTCAGGTCAGGTAGAAGCAGTTTGGGGTAATCTGGTTCCTCCTAGAGTGGAAGCTTTTACATCGTTGGTAGCCTTGGACAGTATTCTAACTTCGAACCACTTGAAAAAGAAGGGGTTTCAACTTGGCAAGCTACTGTTACCTTTGCTGTTCAGGAGAGGGGAGTCCATTTGCTTCTTGTTCTACTCATGCAAGTTTGCAATTTTTTTACGGAAATTATATTCTATCCTTTTTGGGATTAGTGTTTTCC